CCCCCTGGCCCAAACCTCCCAGACACTCGCGCATACCCACACACATACGACATCTTATAAGAATATCAATGAGCAATATAAAGACCTGACCCCCCTGCGCAAACCTCCCAGACACTCGCGTATACCCATACACATACGACATCTCATAAGAATACCAAGGTCCTCACCTTCGGTCGGGGATGCAGCAAGTGATTGAAGAGCGGCAGTCCCTTCTCTTCACAGAACTTTTGGCTCTCTGCGTGTTTCTTCTCGGTGTATCGTGTGCCCTCTGGGAACAGCACTATCCAGAACGGCAGCGGATAGCCTTCAAGCTACGGAGAGGAGCAATTGATGTATGAACGCAATAACACATTATCTAAAACGTGTCTCAATTCCGTTCCAAGAATAGTACGAGGTATCCGGTAGAAAACGCAATAAAACAGTTGTAGCTTGTGCTTTGTGGTAAATGCGCATTGGTGATTTGGTATGTATCTGAATCCTGTGAAGGCCGTTCAAGGGCACCTAATAGATATGTTGTCACGACCAATACTCAGCACACCACAGTTGACTACAAGTGAAGACCGTGGACGATAGACAGTGCAGTAATAGGAACATGTCGCATTCTGCAGGCAGGCTCGCTACGGGTACACACACTACACACAAGCTGATATGAGATATCTTGTGGATGTATGTATATTTATCTAACACAAAAAACAATTAAATACACAGCATACATATAAATGCAAATGTTGGCATCTTCATGATCCGCTACACAGATACACGCTAGTGACACTCAATTCGCATCAGCTCCACAACAAATCTTAAATGGTCGATGTTACAAATATAAGTATAGATATACTACTGCATGCGAACCTATCGATGACATGCACCAGGCTTAGTTATCGCACCACAAGTCGTGCAATCGTTCTTGCAGAAACCAACTTGTACATCATACTTTACATTTGCTTAAAACTATCTACATAGAATGTCAATACAACAATAGGGTTTCTATGCATTTTATGATAAATCTACAAATACATATGTATTCCTACTTAGATTACCGATTGACA